GGGAAAGAGGGATGTAAAACATAAATATAAATAAAGCAATTAATATTATTTTTAAAATATGCTATAGGGCACATGTGCTCACCAGAGAGAGACAGAGAGAGAAAGAGAAGGTAAGTGACAAAGGAAGCCACCAGGTCTGGCACTCATATCGCAGTCAGTCCTGTGGGATTTCGGTGCCTTAACCACCATGCCGCCTATTGGCACTATAGTGTAATGTTAAATTTAGAGAAAATGTAGTTTATTCTTCATATCACATCAGGCATGAGAATAAATTTTGATGAATTTAAAAATACGTATATGTGTGTACATATATGTATATACATATACATGTATGCCACAGAAATGCCATGAAAATACATAGACAAATTTTTATTTAACTGCAGAATACAGTCATTTGTTTTGAAGGGGGCATCAAGATTCGATGTTTATGGTTGAATTATTTTTCGGTATTCATGCTTTAAAATCTATAAAGTCTGCTTAAAAATTTTAAACTAATACATTCACACATAATGAGAATTATGTAATATGAAATTCAAGATACCTATATAATGTTTTGTTTCTAAGCACATACTCATTTGGAAAACACCTACAGTATGTTTGGCAGCCAACATGGATGAACACAGCAGCCCCAAAGACTCCCAGAAAGACAGGTGCCTGTTCCTGCCTGTGAATTATTCTGGGCCAGTGTCTTGATGTTAACCTACTTTCTCTGACTTTGGTAATGATCACACTCGTTCACTTGGGACACAGGGTTGGTAACTATGTGTAGTTAATTTTATGTCCTCTAGTTGGGTAGTTTCAGAATCACCTGTATCATTCCAAAGTACTCAATTCCCTTTTCACGGATGCATTGGCATGTCATAGTTGATGTAATTTGCATGATTTTTTAACATACATGCACATATTCACTTCATATAATAACTAAATTGAAAAGGCCTTTCTTTAAGACAATTTTTCATTCAAGCATAAGGATTATAAAGTTATTAAACACCAGATTGTTATACTTTCTTATTTTTATTTCAATTTATTTTATAAATTTGATCAGCATGCATCATTTAGCTTGTAAAGTGAATTTACGCAACATGAACACAATTCACACCAGTCCAGTCCAAGATATCATCAACAGACAATATTCCATGTCTGTGTCCCACAAATGTCCTGCCTTTCCATTTTTCTCCTTAGTTTCTCTCCTCATACTCTTCCTCTTCTCCTCTCCTCTTCTCACACTATCTTCAGTATCCCTAACCATTTTCCATGCTTCTATGTCCTCTAGTCTTTCAGTTTCTTCCAAAGAGTGCAGACAGTTGGTATGTATTAAGTGAGGACATACAATGCCTTTCTTTCATAGCCTGGCTTGGTTCACTCAGCAGTAAATCTTCCATATTCATCCTCTTTTTATCAAATTCCAGCATCTTCTTGTTGGTTTGTTTGTTTTTATTGCTGAGTAGTATTACATAGAGTATATATGCCACATTTTTTCAGTCCATTCATCTGTTCATAGATATTTGGATTGGTTCCATGTCTTAGCAATTGTGAATAATGCCGAATAAACACAGATGTGCATGCACCTTCCTGACTGAGCATTCTCCTATCCTTTGAGTAGATACCCTGGAGTAGAATTGCTGGATCATATGGTAGTTGTATTTGAAGGTCTTGGAGGAACCTCCATATTGTTCTCCACAGTGGCTGAACCAATTTACATTCCCACCAACAGTGTAGGAGAGTTCCCCTTTCTCCACAGCCCTGCCAGCACTTATTATTATTATTTTTTAAATCTTTGCTGTTCTGACTGGGGTTAGGTGGCATTCCTATTGTGGTTTTGATCTGCATCTCCCTTATGATAAGGGATATTGAGCATTTATTCATATGCTTTTTGGCCGTTCATATGTCTTCCTTATAGAGTTCTTTCTTCAGCTCATTTTCCCATATTTTAATTGAGTTGATCATTTCTTTATTTCAGGGAAGCTGCTTGAGTTCCCTGTGCATTCTGGTTATCAGTCCCTTATCTGAGGCATAGTTTACAAAAATATTCTCCCATTCCAAGAGTTGTCAATTTACACTAATTACTGTGTCTTTTGCTGTACAGAAATCTGATGTAATCCCACTTGTCTATTTTTGGAATTATTGACTGTGCTTTAGGGGTCTTATTTAAAAAGTCTTTGCCTACCCCAATATGTCCCAGAGCTTTTCCAGTGTTTTCCAGGAGTAGTTTTATATATTAACATCTTAGGTTTAGATCTTTGATCCACTTTCAGTTGACTTTTGTTAATGGTGAGAGATGGGGATCCAGTTTCTTCTTTCTACAGGTGGATTCCCAGTTTTTCCAGCACCATTTCCTAAAGAGATTTTCTTTTTCCACTGGATTGACTGGTACCTTTGTCAAAAATCAGTTGGCTGTGTGTTTTGGGATTTATCTCCTGGATCTCTATTCTGTTCCATTGGTCCACATGTCTGTTTATATGCCAATACCATAATGTCTTGATTATCGCCGCTTTATAAGATATTGTGAGGTAAGGGAGTGATATGCCTCCTACTCCATTCTTCTTATGCAGGATTGTTTTTGCAATACGAGGTCTTTTATGGTTCCAGACAAATTCTATAATTGTCTTTTCTAGATCTCTGATAGACAAGTTCTATGGTTATTTTTTCTAAATCTGTGAAGAACATCTCTGGTATTTTGATTAGGGTTGTGTTAAATATGTA